CCTAACATTTGGAAAATGTCTTTTGTGACGCCAATACATAAATCCGGTGACAAACACTATGTAAAAAATTATAGACCTATTTCTAAGTTGTCAATAATGCCAAAGATGTTTGAAGCAATTATCACTAAAAAATTATCTTTAATTATTTCCCCGTACATTTGCACAAATCAACATGGCTTTAGACCTAAAATGTAAATTTCTATTAATCTCTTGCTTTACCAGTCTAAAATTTTAAATTCCTTCAATAACCATTGTACGGGCCGGGAACGAAATAAAGTGTAATTAAACTGCGGATGTATATACATGCACCATATGCCTCCATTGAAGCATCGGAGAATCTGTGTACCTGAACCGTCTCACTAATATTAGGTTTGCATTTGCGAGGTATAGCGAGCTCTCCTAGAAACTGTAGTTCACCATAATAAGCCTTCCTTCTTTCTAGGATATCACGTTCAAGTTGTTCGTCCCAATCTAGCTTGAGTTGCCAAAGTTGCTGAAGGAATATTTTACCTCTTATGAGCACCGGCCCAACAAATCTCAGAGGGTCGAAGACCTTGTTGAGGTCTGAAAGCAATTTTCTTTTGGTCAGCTTGGTCTGTTCTGGCGATGCCGTTACGTTGAATTTAAACTGATCCGCACCTGGCTGCCAGCATAGCCCTCTAGACTTAATGATGTCCTCATCTCCAAGAACTAACGTGAACAGAGCATCGTTTTGATTTTTAGTTATACCTTTGAGAAGAGACAATGAGTTTGAACACCATTTGCGTAAAGGTAATTTGGCCGATTCCAAAATAGCTGTTACTTCTTTTTGTAGCTGGGCGCATTCTTCCTCACTTTCACCACCAGTCATAAGGTCGTCCACGTTTAAAACCACTGACGCTCTGGGGTGAGTTTGTTTTACGTTGTCTGCTAGTACCAACAGACATTGCGTGGCCATGAAGGATGCCGGTGTTGTTCCATAAGTCACAGTAGCTATTGTGTATTCGAGGAGAGCCTTGCTTGGATCCGGACGCCAAAGTATCCGTTGAAGGTGAGTGTCCTCCTCTGCTACAAGTAATTGACGAAACATTTTTTCGATGTCAGCCGTGATAACAACTTGATATTTTCGAAATCTAGCCAATATTGCAAATATGTCTTCCTGTACCACAGGTCCGCGCCCGAGGATGTCATTCAGCGACACTCCTGACGATGTCCTAGCCGAAGCATCGAAGACCACTCTTAATTTTGTAGTTAGACTTGATAACTTCAGCACTGGGTGATGCGGCAAATAACATGCGTGCTGAGACACGTTGTTTTTAATAACCTCTCGCATGTGCCTCATCTCAATGTATTCATTCATAAATTTGGTGTATTGGATGCATAAGGTCTCATCTTGCTGTAGTCGCCTCTCAATTTTGATGAACCTTGCAGCGGCTATTTTCATGCCGGCTCCCTAGCGTTTCACGTCTGTTTTGATTGGAAGGCACAATACGAAACGACAGTTTTCATCCCTCTTATAGGAACTATGAAAGTGTTGCAATGTTTCTTCTTCTTCCTTGCATGCTTGGTTGGCCTTTGAACTCTGGCCATAGCTGTCCTTGTCTGCTAAGTTCACCTTCCAATCGTCCTCTAATCACCTTCCCAGCGAATTTACCCCTATAAGACAGGTAGCAACAAACTCTCCTGTAACGATCCACCCAAATTTTGTAGCTTGCAGTCCAAGATTGCCGACTCCCAATGATACCTTATCTGCCTCCGGAAGTTCATAAAATGCTCCAGCACCGATTAACAGGTCGACTAATCCTGCCTTATAGAAATTAGGGTCAGCCAATTCAGCTCTCAGTTCATCCGAAATATTCCAACCATTCGCGGGGACCGCACATTGGGGCAGCTCGCTCACTATCGTTTGCAAAATATGACATGGTAAGCTTAATTCATATTTCCTGATTTTAGAACTTCTTTGAATTTCTACCATTGCTACAAATTGTACTCGACTTGACCCAATTCCTCCTACTGGTAATTGTGTCCTTGTTGAGAGTTGTAATATGTTTAAAAAACCCTTAGAAATAAAATTGACCATCGAACCACTGTCCAACACTGCTCTACAATTACAACCGTAACAATCAGTCACGAGAACTTCTGCAGTAGACAAAAATACATGTGAATTGATTGATTTTGTTGCAATGCACGAATGAACCTGTGGCTGCTGATTGTTTGAAGAGCTATGAGACGATGTTTGATGGACTGGTAGAATATCACTATTGTTTTGTTCACGTTTTTCTTCATGATTCGATTTGTCAACGTGCAATAATGAATTGTGTTTTCCCTTGCAATATGAACAAACATAAGTCGATCTACAAGCTGGAACCATGTGATATGGACTTAAACAATTGAAACATAATCGTGCAGTGTGGACTACATCAAGACGCTCTTTTTGTGTAAGTTTCTTAAACGTTTTGCAAGCGTAAACCGTATGTGCCTGCTGGCAACATGGGCACTCCGTCTTATCTACTGTTGTGTACTTGGATGCGATTAGAGCCTTCTTTGTATGGCTAGTCCCTCCTGCGCCCTTCCGGCTAGTGGTTCCTTCTCTATCCACATCTACGTCACGCGACCATGTCTCCGTGGTTTAAAATGCTATGCAACGACCAGCTAAGAACTTTTCCAGGTCTGTGTATCTCGGGAGTTCTGTGTCTCCACACCGTGATTGCCACGCTTGTATTGTTGCTTGATCTAATTTCCTCAGTACAATAGTGACTAAACAAGCATCCTAATGCTCGACTGGTTGATTCAGAGCTTCTAATGCAGCAATATGTGTCGAAATATGTGAGTGTAGCTCTTGTAATCTCCTCGATGAGGCTGTTGTCAAAGAGGGAATGTCCAAAATGCTACGAATATGCGATTGAATGACTAGGCTTTTGTTGTCGTAGCGTTGCTGCAGATTTTTTTTCGCAATGTTGTAATTGTTATCTGTCACTGGTATGCCCTTAACTATATCTAGAGCTGACCCACTCAACGTTGATCTTAGGTATGAAAACTTTTGTGCTGGGGAATACACTTCTTCGCGGTGAACTAATACTTTGAAACAATCAAAGAATGACTCCCACTCGAGGATATATCCGTCAAATTTTGGAAGAGCAATTGGTGTCAATTGTGCACGTGGAGCAGATGTTACAGCACTAGACGAGGCATTATGAATTGAAGAATTTAAACCCTTTTCTAGATTAATTATTTCTTGCATTTCGGATCTTATTGCCTAATAATCAGTTTCGAAGGTTACTCACTCGCTCTCACTTTCGCCACAATTATAGATATCGATCAATTCTATCTGACATTGAATGTCATCGAATTTTTTATTTATTTGTGGCAATTCTTCCTGTCTAAATTCTAACAAGGAAATAGGTTGCTCTCTAGGATTAAACTTTCGAACAAATGTACGAATTCTAGTCAAGGCAGCCTTCACGACGCCTATATTTCTCTTAAAATCACTTGCCACTTTTTTCTCGCTTTCGTCGAGCATCCTTATACTGTCGTGTGACAGTTGTAAGCCGACCTTATCAATACACCAAAAATGACAACAACAAAAACAACAGCAGTAATAACAAGTTGGCCAATAAACAACGCCTTGGGCTGATAATAATAAATTCTTACACTGTTAATCGACCATCGATAATAACAGTGAAGACTGTAATGCAAGTCAAGAAAGTATATATATTTTAACTTGTGTTATTTAAATTCACCTACAATGATAATTAATTGAACGAATGAGACATTCGATGAATCTAAGACACAAAAATAATAATAATTTTAATAATAATCAAAATATAATATACGATCACGTCGAGGTCACCAAAATGTACGGGCCGGGAACGAACAATATTAGTCCGCGACGCCCGATCACCAAAATACTTCGCACGCTGGACTCACACACCGACCGACCTGTGTAAAGGTGCGTAAGTGTGTTAGCAGTTTGATAGAAGTGGACGGATTCACCGAGCAAGACTATCAAACGCTAGTGTGTGGTGGGTGTGTAAGTGTGTTAATGTGTATGAGTGTGTACTGTGTAGGCTTACAAATAACTAAGAATAAAATGGTAACACGTTTCAGGTAAATAAGTTGCTGTATAATACACGATATCAATATACCTTACAAATATATAAAAATCACAGCAACAAAATAATATGGTTTTAAAATATAATATAGTAAACAACTCACAGTTTGTGGAGCGCAGACTGGCCAGCTGGTCCTAGCTATATAATAAAATAAAGATTCACACACATACACACACAAAATGGAAAAAATATAACAATAATAATAATAATGAAAATAATAATAATACTACACGACAAATATTATACACTTCGCCGGAACAATAATAAATGTGGCGATTAGCGCCGATCAAAATAATATAATAACTACGCCCGCGACGATCAGTGCACGCCGCACCAGGCTATTAAAACAATAATAATAAGAGATGAGCGCACAGTGCACCGACTAAAAATTATAATATATAATTTAAGTGGCGATTTGCGCCGACATAAAACAATATTATTATACTTGGCAATTCGTGCTGACAAATAAAAACTATTTAACACTTCAAAAGAAAACGGCGATTTACGCACGTTATAATAGGTAGCCATATACGAGAGGATTTTATAACGGATTTGGTCTCTGACGGATTAAATCCTCTAAAAAGTCTTATCGTGTGTGGTGTTCTAAGGATTCAATCCGGCAGATTAAAAATCCAACGGATTTAGTCCAACGGTTCAGGTCTCTCGCTTTGCCACAGACTAAAAGACCAGGTCCGACGGACCACGGACCTTGATAAGAAATTTTTGTTTTATTGAATATTGATAGTAATAATTTTATTATTATCATACAATATCATCTGTTTCCTTATCAATGGTTCGTTAATGATTTGTATTTTGATATATTTTAATCATTTTAAAAATCTTAGTGTTTACCTCTAAGTGTACCTCGTTAATTTTTTTAGTAATATTTATATACATTTTGCACAAATCATGGAGTGGAGTAAATCTATAACAACAGATTTCATTGAGTTGTACCATTCCAAACCATGTTTATGGAAAATAAGCTCTGTTGAGTATAAGAACAAAAATTTAAAGTCATTAGCTTATAATGAACTTATGGAATTTCTCAAATCTAAAGGATTGGTTAGTGCCACAGTAAGAGAAGTTAAATCTAAAATTCAAAACATCAGAAGAATGGTTAGAAAGGAAAGAGCAAAAGTAGAAGCATCTAGGAGAAGTGGAAAAGGTACAGATGACCTGTATACTCCAACATTGTGGTAAGTGTTAATTTTTTACATAGGTTCTCAATTTGATGTAATATGTATGTGTACTATATTAAATATTTGTGTACTAATTTATTCTTGAAGGTATTATGATCTTTTATCTTTTGCTAATGATATGGACCCACTACCATCAATTGATAATCTAGGAGGTACTAGCGATTATAGTCATGAAATAGATGAAGAAAATGACTGTAACAATTTAGATTTGACTGACATAATTCACAATGTTCTGAACAAGATTTTGACAGTGACATATCCAATACAAATGATGGTCAAAATCATGTAAGTTTTTTCAACAAATTAAAAATGAAAACTAGGTTTAATTGTTAGATAGTGACTATTAAATTTAATAATATGCAAGTGTTTATAATAGTTTAAGTAGATAACATGATACTCTCAATGACAGTGTTATATAGTATATTCTTAATCTAAATAATAATTAATAATAATAATAAGTAATAATTAGTAATAATGATAATAATTAGGTACAATATTAATAATTAGTAATAATGATAATAATTAGGTACAATATTAATAATTAGTAATAATGATAATAATTAGGTACAATATTAATAATTAGTAATAATGATAATAATTAGGTACAATATTAGTAATTAGTAAACATATCCTAAGTTATTTAAAATAATTATGATTTTCCCTTTTTAACCATGTCATCCTGCCAAGCTACTTTTCCAACTCTGTAGTAGAATAAAAATTAACAAAGTGAAAAGTGCCGGGGTAACACGGGCTAAATGGCGACAGAATAGGGGCGTACCCGGCTCAATAGCCCATAAATTTCAATTCAGATAATAATTATACTACTACTTGATATGATTATTAGATTACCTTTTAGTTTATTTACCGATGTTATAATTTGAAATATTAAATCCACTTTTCTTGTATTGATTGTGGATCTTTGTTGTGGTGGTGGTAACGTCTCCGGCAGGTGTGGGTCGATGCGCGTTACTATTACTCTACGACTTTTATGATAATATGTTCTTTTCTCTAAATACAGTGCGTTTATTCTTAGCCTTTGTGGTGGAATAAAGCAAAGTTTATTTTTCTTACTTCAATAACGCTTAGAAAACTTTAATTCAGTGAATGGATCGGAATTAAGTAATAGAATTAGTCACTATGATTATTTTCTTTTATTATTTGCACTCTGTGCTTATGTTGGTGTTAAGACACCTTTATAGTGATTTATTCGACTACTATGGACGACGCAGTGTTATGAGTTCGGGCCTCGATTCTGCCTATATATTTGAGGTTCGGTTTTCTTAAGAGACAAGGAATCGGTTGTGGCGTAGTTCCACCTGTTCCAGACTCCTATAGTCAAAAACGTGAAAACTGCAAATATATTTTGATAACCCAAGGTCCGTTATGAACAATGAATTATCAAGCGGCGCCTAGTATGTTTTTATTATTGTTAGCTTTCGCCTATATAATTGAAGTTCGGTTTTCTTAAGAGACAAGGAATCGGTTGTGGCGTAGTTCCACCTGTTCCAGACTCCTATAGTCAAAAACGTAAAAACTGCAAATATACTTTGACAACCCAAGGTCCGTTATGAACAATGGATTGTCAAGCGGCGCCTAGTATTGGTCGGGTACCTATAATAGTGACTAAATGGATCGATTTATTAGGAATATTTTATTTGAGTCCCTACCTTTTGATATGGGAAGAATTGTAGGACGATTTTAATTAAAAATCTCTAAGGCAGTGCAATAAATTTAAACAAGTTTCTTTTAATGGCGAAATAATGGGGAGAATAAACTAATATGAGTTCATACCTGGTGTTAGAATAAACGCAATAATTTAATTGATTTCATCAAAAAAAGAAAGAAATTAAATCAAAACGAAATTCACGTTTTCTTGAGACGAGCTGCGTGGACGTGGTGTGCCTTGTTGATTGTGATGATGCACTGCGCGGCTATTGTTTGTGCGTAGCGCTTATATAGAGAAGCGATTGTTTTATCCCCACTCAATAGTCGTCGTGTTGCCATAGACTGGTTGCGTTTGCCACGTGAATCCGGCGTTCAGATGCCTTTGCTGTCGGATACTTTCGTTGATCTTTGCATTTGATACTTTATTTGCAAAGGTGTGTCTAGCTACGACATGTGCCCCTATGGTGTTGTCATTTTCCTTAACTTACGTGACATTTTTTTAGCAATAATATTATGAACGGGCGTTGTAATATTGTGTGTATGTGGAGTGCGTGCCTTTATTGATGTAGAATTGAAATGACTGTCATTATGTCTTCCGTGCATGTGCATAGATTCTTGTGAGTTGCCTTTTGATGAAGTTATATGTTATATACCTTATTGGGGTACATATGTTCATTATACAATGCTTAGCCACTTGGCCTTTGACATGATATTGTATTGTTGCTCTGTATTCTGTTGTGTGTTTCTGCCTGTGCAGTAACTACTATTGGATTGAACACGTATTTGGTATTATTCAAGGGGCCTTTGAGTGAGCACGTGCAATGTTGGTGACGTTACTACGTGTTGTTGCTCGATATATTGTTATTGATTAATTCTGTCCATACGGAGACTGAAGGCGTTCACCGTGAACGGTAATTGATATGATTTGATAGGCCTTTGAGTGGGTCATAACGCGCTGTAGTGTGATGTACTACTTTGCTTGGGATTGTGTAGTGTATTCTTGTCTGTACAAAGATTAACATTAAATTGAATTTTTACTCGATATGATTTGGCGGGCCTTTGAGTGAGCATGTGGAATGTTGATTACGCAATAACATGTTGTTGCACGATCGTTTATGCGGGAACCGAAGGTGTTTACCAGAAACGGTAATTAATATGATTTAATAGGCTTTTGAGTGAGTCATAACGTGTTGTTGTTGTTTGATATCTTATCAGCGATTAATTTCATTTATGCCCAGATATGGATATATTTTTTAATGGGCGTCTGTCTGGGAATTTTAATGGCTTCCTGTTGTTTTTTCGATTATATGATGATTTGTTCGTTTTAAAATACCGAATAACAGTTTTAATGCGTAGTATTTTAATTGCGTTTATCTTTTTTTATTTTTACACCAGAATATGTTTTCACCTAGCCTTTTCACCCCATACGTTTATTATAATATAAATTACAAATTATGAATTATAAAGCATATTATTTATATATTACAACTCCATTGAAATACTCTAAATACTTATCTCGGTTTATATTGGCTGCTGCTGAACTATTTCTTGCATTAATACTGTTTTGTAATGGAAACAATTGTCCACTTACATCAATAACTTCTGTGTCTTGTGTCTCACTGTTTTCAGATGTTGGTTTTACATAAGAAGAATTGTGCTTTATAAGAAAATTATGAAGTGTGCAAATTGCTAAAACAATATAGTTTGTGTCATTCGGATTGACATTAATAGATGTCTGCAAAATGCGAAATCTACTTGCTATTAGACCAAAAGCATTTTCCACTACATTCCTAGCCCTCGATAGTCGGTAATTGTAAATCCTTCTTTCATAGTTTAAGGATTTTTGTGGAAATGTTTTTAAAACATGTTCTTCTAGAGCAAATGCTTCATCTCCAATGAATACAAAATTAAGATCTTCTTCAAAATCCATAGGTTTTGGCAAATTAAGAGTTTCATTCTGTAGTCTTCTGTAAAATGTTGTTGCTTGTATAACGCCACCATCAGATATCCTACCTTGTTTTCCAACATCGACATAAATGAACTCATAATTATGATTTACAATAGCCATTAGAACAATACTATAAAAGTTTTTATAATTATAATATAGTGCACCAGAACGTGCAGGTTGACAAATGCGAATATGTTTGCCATCAATACAACCTCCACAGTTGATCATTTGCCATCAATTCTTAAATCCGTTTGCTACTTCCTTCCAATCTTTAGATGTTTGAGGCACCTATAAAAATATAAAATTAATATATTTTTCTTTCTTACTGTGTTAACTATTATTTACAGTTGCTAAAAAAATTATTATTATTTTACTAATATTAAAATTTGTATTTCAGGTTTTTCAAATACCGTCATCACCTATTCAGTCTAAAAAAACTAAAAAACAGAAGATGGATGATAGCGTTTCTAATTTTATGAAAAAGTGTTCTGAAGCTTTTGAAAACTCTAACGACAACAAGCCTGATGAATATAAAGCAATGGGGATTAATTTCGCAGCTAAACTGAAAAAAATGAAGCCTGAACAACAAATATATGCTGAACTGTTGTTTCAAAAAGTCTGTGCCAAAGGGCTTCTGGGGCAACTACATGAGTGTTATGACATTGTTGATGTTTCCAAAAATCAACAAACATCTCAATTGCCCAATAACAATTATACTGCGGTATCTGCAAGCGAATATTATTCCACTCCAATAAGTACAATGTCATATCCAAACGATAACTCATCTACAGAGTATAGTGAATCACCATCAACAAGTGTTCAAAGTTTTCTGTATAATTGGAATACATCAACTAATTCCACTGATGATCAATGACGTATTTAATTATTTTATAATTTCTAAAGTTCTTTATTACCTATTATTATAATATTATATTTTAATTCAGATAAGTTGTTACACAAAAGTCTGAGGGAAACTATAAAGTACCTATTTATTTTAATATTTTTTTATTATTATTTTAATTATCAAATTGTTACATATAAGTTTAGAGGAAGAGACTGTATGGTGAAAATGTATTTTAATGTTCAGTTCTTAAATTGTTAATGATACATTGCTAAATTGTAACTAAATTTTATAAAGTAAATAAAGCATTATTTTTACCTTCATATATGTGTCTTGCAAGATTTCATAGATAGCTTTACATGTCTCAGGTATAATAGAACCAAGAGTTTGTGCAGCAATTCCTGTACTAAACTTTAAGTCCTCATATGACCTGCCAGTAGCTAGAAACCGTAAAGTAGCTATAAGACGTTCTTCTGCAGGTATTGCCTGGCGCATTACTGTATCCTGTTTGGTTATGCGTGGTCTTAGTAAATCTAAGTAGTAAATAAATGCATAATACTGAATAAAATACAATTTATGAACACCAAATTTAAATGTTATATAATGGCATATTATACACATTATATACCAGCATTATTTACATCAAAATGTTCTAATATAAAAAATAATATGGTGAATAATTGTAATTTGTAAGACACTTACCCAAGAGTCGATCAAAATCTGGTTTTGACATCCTCAAATAGTTTTTCAAATCATTTGGTTCATTTTCATTTAACTATTTTAATAATGGCATGTGACCAAACAAATCCCTTCTAGCAAGCCAGTTTTTGACCCACTTACGCCTCATTTTTCTTTTTGAGATAATATAATGGTACCCAACCATCAATCCTGCAGCGGCTATCAACTTTTTTTTTCTCTGAGGCATATTATTATTATGTTTATTCATTATATATTTTAATATTATGTTATATCAATTCTATACCTATTTAAAATTTATGATTATAAAATAACATTTTATTAACACAAATTCATAGATGAGTGATAACATAACAACTGATAACTGTAGTCCGTCGTATAAATCCGCAGATCTTTCAGAACGTCTTGAAAGACCAAAGGACTCGATCCTCAGCATAAAAATCAACGGATTTCCTAAAATACCGATAATCACTTATTTCATTAAATAATCTACAATTAATGTTTTAGATTCTGAACGGAAAGATGAATGTGTTGATTTTACAATGATGTGTTTTTTTTTCGTGCCTGTACAACATAACTAATCGAAATAATACTTATCATTGCATTCAAATTTAACACTTCTATAATATTATATAATTATATAATTATATAATATAGTGTTCCATACGGCACCTAATGTACAGCATTATTGTGAATTCAATTGGAATTTTAAAATAATATATATCAATCAATTAAATATAATAAATCACTTACCTGAATTATTCAACCACAATCTCGCACGTTCTGGGTCTGTGGGAAATTTAAAAAAATGCAATGAACTATTGGTTCTCTTGCTTTAACCACAATTAAAAAAAACACACTTATTTCCTCTTTGCATTTTAAAGAATTTAAATAATATAATATATAATGTTCAGTAAATGTTAAACAAAAAACAGGCAGGTATTCAAAATATTTTTACATTCGAAATAAATATAAGTTTTAAACGTAGGTACTAGTATAGCTTCACGCAATCGGTTAATTTTTTTTTTTCAAAACAATATCTAATACTATATACGTATAGGTATCTATGTTCTAAATGTTTATTTTTAGTTTTGTTCATAACAGAATTGTTTAAATCCATCATTGTTAAGGCTATAAAAAGAATTATAATTTTATTGTTTAGGTATACGCAAAACTATTCTGAGCGAAGACGGTCTGTCAGCTAGGGATATAATGTAAATCGTTATTTTATTCGTAAATATCCGATTTTACAAAAATTATTACCAGAAACTACCTTAAAGTTAAAAATTGAAGCATTTTACGACACCTCAATTAAGAAAGACAGAAAAAAACATATATAATTGTAAAATAGCTCCACTCAGAAGTCAGAATCTAAAATGTGCTATGGTAAAAAAGTGTTACTCTTAAAATATGTGATTAATAAAATTTTGTCTTGGAATTTTATAAAAAATGAATAACTGAAATTGTATGCATTTTTTGGATTTTGAAAAAAAAAATAGAAATAACAGTTTGAATATGTAATACATAGTTTAATTTATTAGTGTTTTCAAAAAATTACAATACGTAAAACAATCAATAACCATGAAAACCACACCAGCACGGCGGCACCAGTATTAAATAATTTTGTTATTAAAATATAGATAGAGAGCATAACATAATTTATTATTGCATGAATAAATCGACACCGGGACGTGCCATCGTATTTTCCTTCTATTATATGGGAGACAAGTTTATTTTTATATTATCATGTGTAAAAATAGTTCGGTTGTCTGCGTTCATCGATTGCCGATAGTTGATGTCTATGCTATATTATAAAATTTATTACATGAAATGTTTATTATTATTATGCAACAAAACTGTAGCCGCGATCTATGAAATCATAATAACACTAAAATGACTGTTTCCAAAATCTACATTGAAATGGGCTATCTATTTGTATTTAATCAATGGTTTAGGTAATTAATCACTTTTTTAAATTCTTTAGCTGCTTTTAAACAAAAATATCTTCCCACGATTTACCGAAAAACAAGAGACATGTGTCATCAGTATAAGTAATGATTTGACCATCAATTTTTAAATCACATATTGAATTAATGTATAATAATATGAACAATAGTAATAATAATAACAATTAAAATATTATATTAATTTAAAAAATGACTCGGGCAACAACACCATTTTATTGATCTAATGTAACATATAATTCTCCCTTTCCTTAATTAATCATAAATCTTATTTTACGACTTTTGGTCTGGACACTCGCGCTAAAGCAGTACCTATATTGTTGGATAAACTATAAATGACCGTGGTTCAGTGGTTATATTTATTTATTCTATAATATAAACGGATCATGGACACGTATTTATGGATCTTTATTTATGTTTGATTTATTTTAAACATATTTTCATAATTGTGTCCTTTTATTTTAGCACAATGTACAGATTACAGTCATTAATATTTATTATTGTAGTGCAACCCTAATTTATTAATTTTATAAAACATAATATTAAGAACAATTCTGTACCATTCATTTATAAATGGTGAATGAGAGTGGCCAAATGGTCTTAAAAGGTCATTTGAACTTTATAAATATAATAATTTAATGTACCTATATTATAGATGTCGATGTACGTGTATCTTGGTGCCGACGGAGGCGGCGGCCGTGGTGGTGGTGGGTGGAATAACTACAATGGCGGCTGAAACGGTGGCAGGGGTGGGTGGACGTCATGGTGGACGTGGTCGTGGCGGCGACAGCGGCGAAGGTACGGCGGAGGTTTTGGAAGAAGGGCCCTCCCACAGACGCCAGCGTAAGTACATTTATTATTAAATTACATTTCAGAAAGATAATATTTAGTAAGAAATCCATGTGAGTCCTCAGAGAAGATATTTTTGATTTCATAGGTGGCGAGAATTGTGGCTGCCTCATGCCACAAAACGGCGGCGGAAGTAGCAGCCACAGAGGCTGCCAGGGCTGCCAATGCAGTCCAAAAAGCTGAAGCTGCAGTAGCAGCAGCAGTAACTTTGGCTGAAAGCCTGAGGGCCCAAGCTTCTGCGGCTGCAGCAAGAGCAACAACAACAACAACAGCAACAGCAAGAACAACAAAAACAGCACCAGCAACAACAAAAGCAAAAAAAAAAAAATGTAATTGTAATGTTTTCATAAAAAATACAATTTACAATTTATTTTTATAAGAATTAGCCTTTAGGCGTTATTCATTAATTTTTCTTTTTATTTGTTGCATTCAAATTTATATTCAATTAACAAATATTCCTGAAATATTTGAATAATTTGAGGAACTTCAGATATTTTTATCCGTATATTTACAGTATATTTATTTTATTTTAGTTTCCAACGACTGATTTCATTTTCACAAGAGATTATAGGTGGTTCTAAATTCTAATCTAATGCATAAGTCAGGTTATACATTTTTTAAATTTATATTCTATAATACCTACATGAAAATAGTAGTAAAGAACTCACAATAATTTTTCATTAGTGCAAATGTACTTTTCACGTCATCAATGGTTTGAGCTATGTTGCTTTTTATGCTCAATATTGCCAAATTTGAGAGCTGGTAAAAAGAGGGGTTAAAGTGGGGGGCCGCAAAAGGACTCAGTCCCCCTATCTCAAAGTTCAGACCTCTGACGGCGGTTGAAAGTTCTTACTGGAAGTGTATAGGGAGTTACTATTATTACTAGTTAATGACTTATGAACTTAACATAATATATACAAGCAGTGTTGGGTAGTAACCATAGAGCACAAATAACCACTTAAATTTCAATCAATTTGTTAATGACTGTGTTATTTAGATTTCTGGGTTTGTTGTAAAAAAATTACTTATACAAATAAGGTCTGAAATGTGTGCTACTGCACTGGTAGGATCTAAACAATGTTATTTAAACTCTCTAATAGCTCTTAAAGATCGTGGAGAAAAATTATATCACCCTTCTGATGATGTTATTATTATATGTTTAAAAACAGAAAATATAATGAAACGATTTCCAGATCATAGTAAACTTCAAATTATTAACAAAACATTATCTTCTTGTACAACTAATACCCCTTTCAAAACTTTATTAAATCAGCAATATGACAATGAGCCCTTATCTAGTCACCTTATTCTAGTTACCAAGGTGGTCCCGTCGGTGGGGAGGAGGTCTTTTTTTTTTACATATGTATCGGCAGCTAAGGGTGGGACGGACCTTTCGATCATTTCACCCCTTAGTCACCATCGTTTATTGTATGAAAAAAAAAACGAATACAATTTACACATAATAGGTTTGGGGCTTCTAACCACCCTGGGGTGCGCTCAGGCGTACAATAGTAAACTTAACTAATTTTGGCTTAACTAATTTTAGGGAGGAGGTCTAACCTAACCTAACCTTTTTTTTTTACATAGGTATCGGCAGCAACAACGTGCGAAAAAGCTAGCAGAGCCGTTCAGAACTTGTCTAGAATTTTGCCCAACGTCAGTGCTGTTAAGCAAGCCAAACGAATGCTCATGTCAAACGTGGTGCACTCAATGCTCCTTTATGGTGCTCCAGTGTGGGCCAATAAAATGAGCAAAAAAGGACTGTCAGAACTGGCCAAGGTCCAGAGACGCATCGCGCTGAGGGTCGCGTCAGCTTACCGCACTTCATCCACAGATGCAGTCCTAGTAATAACGGGAATTCCCCCCATCGACCTCCAGGCTTTAATACGAAAAGCGATATACGACAATCGACTGAGACCAGAAACCGGCGAGGTGAGAGAAGAAGCAGAAAGCATGCTGAACAGGACATGGCAGGGCCGTTGGGACAGCGACGAGGCGAAAGGCAGATGGACGCATAAGATAATCAGGGACATCTCGCGTTGGAGAAATAGGAGGCACGGGTACACAGACTATTGGCTGACCCAAGCGCTGACTAACCATGGATGCTTCAGCCACAACTTGCATAAAATAGGAAAGCTGGGAACCCCAGAGTGCTGGTACTGCGGTCACCACGACGACGACGCATTTCATACGATCTTCGAATGCGACGCCAGGGAGACTCGAAGATTCCGCGTGGAGACAGAAATTGGAGGAAGATTTCAACCCGAGAACATGATGGACCACATGTTGAAGGACAAACAGACGTGGGATACCATCAACGGATTTGAACGCGAAGTGTTACAAAAAAAGACCGAGGAAGAAAGAAGGAGACAAGAAATTGTCGCAGCTGAACCGTAGAGACGGCACCAGGGACCTGAAGTGAAAAGGCAAAACAGTACGAGAAGTCGAGAGCGGCGGACGATGGTCGACTCGAGAACTCAGAAGAAGACGCCAAAACATAAATTATATATATATTACTTTTTGGTGTATGCCGAAGTCAAAACTTGAGGGGATAGAGCCCCTCATTAATTGTAAATTAACTTGTGTGGTTTAACATAGGGGTATTGTCTCTGTGCAGACCACAAAATGTTGTATGTTTATTACTAATAAACGATGGGACCTGAGGGGTGAAATGACTAACGTCAGTGCCACCCCCAGACCCCAATTTCAAAATGTAAAAAAAAAAAAAGGTATCGGCAGCTAAGGGTGGGACGGACCTTTCTGTCATTTCACCCCTTAGTCACCATCGTTTACTGTACGAGAACAAATACAATTTATACATAATATAGGTTTACAAAGGTTTGGGGCCTCTAACCACCCTGGGGTGCGCTCAGGCGTACAATAGTAAACTTAACTAATTTTAACTTAACTTAACTAATTTTGAGGGGCTGCTTGTCTTCGGCGTTCCTCTTCTTCTTTGCTGCTAATAACTTTGAGGATGAAGTCATTCATGGCTTCCCAGTTTTTTTTTGACTTCAGCATGGTTTCGATCATGTTTTCTGGCTCTAGTGTTGTGGCTGTTATATGCTCCAAGACGTTCCTCTGGTTGTACCATCCTTGGCCATTAGGTAACCTAACCTAACCTAACCTTTTTTTTTCTGAACCGACGGCACCGCGGGGACTGCTTTCGCATTACTTCCTCGACGCGCATACACCTAAAGTTATACAAATAAAAATATTATTAATATATAAAAAAAACATTGATGGCTTATAGCCCGCTGTTTGCATTTTTCGAATCTCGGCCCGGCTTGTTAGCCCGCCGGCCTCGAGTCTCGTTCCTCGCATCCTTCTCCTTCTGGTGTTGTGGAGGGTGCTTACCGCCGTTGTTGGTTGTCAGTTTTTCTTCTGCGTCCGTCTTCGTTCAGTCATCATCCGGGATCCTCTCGTGTCGCTGCGTCACGTGGGTGTCTGCGTTTGCAGCCCTACTTCCTCGGCCACCCTGACGATGGATGGTCGTCTGCGGGTGTTCTACTCCTGCGCAGTGGCCCTCGACCCACTGTCGGCAGTTACGGTGAGTTTTCGGGAGCGGAGAGTTGCCGTTGTTCAGCTGCTTCGCGATGTCTCCCGGAGTCTGTCGTCGGCTGTAGTTGGTGTCGGATAGTGGCGATGTTAGCCTTCTCTGGTCGTGGACCGCCGATGTTGGGTTTGATCAGTTTTCCTTCTGGTTGCACCGTTCTTGTGTTTTTGCTGCTTCTTAGCGTCGAGTGGCCGGTCTGCGGAGACTTGTGGCGTTCGACCCGTGGCCCTTTCTCAGATCGAGATCACCCGGACGGGAACCAGTCGTCCGGGTATCCTACTAATGCCCCGGGGCACACCTGCCGCTGTGGGGCAGTTTCGGATAATGCTACTGAGGCGCTGGGTGTACTAGCCTTGGGTGACATCGTTGATAGGCTCATCAACAGTGAACCTAGTCTCATTGTCACATTCTATGACCACAACGCTTTCAATACCATCGACCTCTTTGGTTAGAAGACATTGGGATTTTTAACGACAGTGCTGTGAAAGGACGGTACTTGATGAGTTGGAAATGTTTGTGTTGTTTTTCTTTTTTCCCCAACTCTCTGTTTCATCTAAATGGTTAAGGCTAGACAATTCTGAAATTTTTCTTTTTCCATTTTCTTTAGTAGTACTCTGTTTAGACTTGGTGTCAAAATCAAGCGCACGAGTGCACTTTCCTTTACTAATATTGTACTTAATTTTTTTGTGTACATTCGTCACACGCTGTCTCATAAGTTTTAAAAACCGACCGCATTTAAGCCTACGGTCGCCTTCTAGTATATCTTGTTTGACTGTTTTAAACCAAGATTCAACGGTAGCATTACTCTGGCGGATTTCAAAGCTATTGCTGACTTTATAATTCTTAATAGGTGTCCACAGTGTTAAGAAAGGAACGAACTTAACTATAAACTCGTGTAAATATGATTCATCATAATATTCATTAATGCTTATATTTTCAATATTTTTAGCGCAATTTAAGACTTCAGATTTAACCTGTTCTTTGATTGACCGAAATCTACAGAACATCATGGAATTGCTCGTGTTGGATTCGCATAGAAATTTATTTATTTCCTCTGAGTGTACCTCACCTTCGTTGTTCAGTTCATTTGGCAATTGGTATTTATCATTGCACTTGGCTCTCATTGCACTAATGGCATTTCTCGTGTGTCCTGCACCATAAGGTGACAACAGTATTACTGAAAATATTTTGAACCATTGTTCAACATCTGTCAAACTGGTTGTGTTAAAAAGTATAGATATCCAATCAATATCATCATTTCTTCTCGTTTTTTCTACAGTCAAACCATGGTTTTTCTCAGTTTGAAAATATGTGTAGACATGGTTAACTATAATTTTTGTGTAACGATTTGCATATATATTTATGATGGTGACATTAGATTCGTCGTGGTTTTCAACCAATACTCTGTAACACCAGTTAAGGTAGTCGAATATGGAAGTAAAACCATTCCATCCTATACACAAGGCATTCATTTTTGCATAACTGAAATCTGTCACTATATTTGTGAATACTGGCCAAGTCAGTTTGTGTTTCAAAACGAATGCTTTAAAAGCGTTCAGCCATTATGAAATCGCAACAATGTCGTGGGCTGAACTAATCATTTCAACAACCTAACACGTGACGCTTGAGTTTCTATTTAATGGGACATTAACAACTAGAACATATTACAGAACCCTTTTGCTGTTCTAGTCAATTTTCCTGACCACTGTACCAGTTGCATAAAAATACCCAGTTACTGGTTGTTGTTTTTTAATCAGATTTTTTAGTACGCCCAACTGTTTGTTACTATAACAGTGAACCGACGGTATGCCGACATAAATTGCATGCCTTTATATAATACTACGAATACGCATTTAGGGTTGTGCAAGGCGTGTTGCTTCCACACTTCGTCATTTTCCTCCCATTTTCCCAATAATAAGCCGCAGTAGAAACATTGAACCAAGTCATCTGACCCAGTATAAGTGAAACCGCATTCAGCCAGTGAATATTTATCTTGGCACGGTCGTGATGGGTGTGAATCGAATGTTTTCAGTCTCGATAAAAAGTTTCTATACTGGGGATATTTAGGATTACAGTTTTCCTGCACTGAACGCACTAGTGATTGACAATCGACGGAACATTTTAATAAATTCATTGTAAAGTGCCGTATAATAATAATAAATCGTAGATAATACGTTCTAAACATGAACGCAAATAAGACACTTCTAGCCAGTGTAACGGCCTGTGAGTAACTGACGATAGTTGGGTAACTCGAATAGTGATATGTAAAATACAACGTTGAGTTATTTCCTACTATCATACCGCCCACGCACATGTGTTGTATAGTTGCCACCGAAGTCAGCAATATCATTATTAACACATGGGCCAAGATGCGTATATTGTGACCCCAAAATATATATATGTGTAATGTGTATAACACACTGACCATGTAGTATGAAATACCCCCTCTTCTAGCGCTATAGTTAATCTTACGGCGAGCGATTATTTCTATACAAAAATCGAAATGACCTACACTACGACGAATACAGATCAGTCGGCCTACATAGTTCAAACACGATCCACGTTCTGGCGTATATTCGTCTTCAAGTCTACATTTTATTATTTTAAAGCACTGTGCGTATTATATCCTCAAAAATGTTTAACTGTGTGAAATGCGATAAACTATTCGTTCGTAAGGGCGATCTTAACAGGCACGCTAAGACCCACGGCAAATCAGACAATTCATGTGCGATATGCCTCAAGACATTTACTCAAAGATACAATCTCCATATCCACGTTCAAAATTGTCACAGTAAGTACATTGAATATCCGCTTTAACTCTAGTTATTAATTAAATCATTTTTTTAAATGGAGTTTGCTAAAAATACCCCAAAATTCCTCAATGCTGTGCAAACAGGAGGCGGTGCAATGGTTGAATACTTATTCCACTCTTACAAATAATGATAATAATAATTATAACGGGAATATCTTAATATTAATAATATATGTTAGGTCGCGCATCGGTCATAAGCTGGGCACCTTCCTCCACTACACTGCACGCCCAACCAGATGTTCCATTTCCGGCGTCCGTCTCAACCTAATCTCCCGTACAGGTTCAACCCAACGCAAGATCCCCCACTACCGCTGCTCACGCAAGATCGAACTCACCATCCTCGGACGTGGAAGGCGTGGCTTACACCGAAAATACTTGAAAAAATATCAAACGTAAAGAGGTCCGTATGCAGGTGGTTAATACACCCGGCCAGTGATGTGAGATGGAGTGAAATTGTATGCCTCATAAACTGGCGGAGGGAAAAAGAGATGTAATTTGAATATTACTTGAAAATAGGGGAATTCGAAACGTTAAAAAAAAATTAATGTTTTATTTTATAATAGTGTCTAATCAATAATTATTAAATAAAATATTTTTATCGCGAGTAATAATCTGTTTTTCCATGATCAATTTATTATTATTCGACATTTTATTTTTACTTATCACGAGTATTTTGTTGCTTAAATACAAGGTACCAGCTGATGGGTAAATAAGTTATTAAGTTATTAATACATTTATATTTTATACACCTTGTCACCTTTGTAGTTTGTTGAGTAGACAATGTAGACTGTAGAGATAACATATAACATCCGAGCTTTTGTTTTCTTGTACCTGTTAAAGTGCTCTTAACACGTTGAGCTCCGCGGCTATTATCTGCGCGGAGCACGTGTCGCCGCGCCGAATATACGGCCGGTCGACTAAGCGTCCTGCGCTCTGGAAAAAAGTTTATCCTGTGTATATAATTAATAATAAGTAAAGAGAAGAAGTAAATAAAATATTAATACTGATGGTACTGCTCGTAATATTTTTTGTTTTTTTTCAACAATCGTTTTGAATGAAATATTAATATAAATAATGTGACAAAAATAATTTAATATTTTTCAATCACTCTGTATATTGAAGGAACACACTGTATACTTGTTATGCTATAATTCCAAGTTAATAATGTTATTAAATTAAAAACGTCCAGACATAACAAAAATAATATACATATAGCATATTATATGATACGTTAATGTTATCGACGTTCGACGACGGCGTCATTTCAGGGAAAATATTAATATCAAAACTAAAAATAAACCAAAAAAAAAACCAATTATATCCTTAGATTCTTGAGACATTACCTGATCGCCTGCAGTATATTTAAAAACGTTATCTCAACGCCAGTCAAAATTATGAACTGTGAAAGTGAACTCTATATTTGTCGACGGGTAGTCGACACCGGCGACCAGGGTAATGTTTTAGATGTCGACTACCCGTCGACCGTGGCGTTGAACGTGTTAAGCACTCTTTAACACGTAAAAAATAAAAATGAATTCTGATGATGAAGATATTATCATTGAGCCATACAATACATCGACCAAAAAATTAAAACGTGGCCCAAAGTTTTTTTCTGACGATTGGTTAAAGTGTGTTGAATTCAAGGGGTAGTTATAAAAAGTACCAAATAATGGCCTGAAAGCTCATTGTACAGCCTGCAAGGTGAGATATGATTATTACAACAGTTATTTAAATAATATTTCACCCATTAAATATTTAAATTACTTGTGAATTGTGAAGTTGTGTTTTTAGGTGTTGTTAAATTCTGGAAAAAGTGACTTACTGAAACATGTGGCTGGAAAAAAAACATGTAGAGAATGTTAAGGTAATAAAAAATTCTAGAAATATTGAGGAATTTTTTAAAAATACAAAACCTGAACAGAGTGTTGCTGTAAAAGAAGTAGAGATAAGGTTAGCTTCATTTTTTGCGGAGCATAATGTGGCGTTCCAGGTTGCAAACCATTTGTTGCATTTGTAAAAAAAAGTTTCTATGACTAATATTGCACAAAGTATAACATTAAATAGTACTAAGTGTACTTGTATTATTAAAAATTTACTAAATACAGTTGAAACAGAAGAAACCATTACAAATTAAAAAAATTTTAAGTTCTCAATTCTCGCAGATGAGAGTACAGATATAACAGATCATAAATTTATGTGTACCTTGGTAAGATACGTATCACCTATAAATGGTTTAGTAAGAACAGAGTTATTAGAACTGATATCGTTGGATGCAACTGACTGTTCTGCAGAAAAAATATATAATGGTTTCAAAAATTGTTTAACTGTGGAAGATATCCCATTAGCAAAAATTATAGGACTAGCATCGGATAATGCAAATGTCATGGTTGGGAAAAATAATTCTTTTTTTTCCCACTTGAAATTTGATGTTCCGTCTGAATTATTAATGCAATGTTTGTGTCATTCATCGACTCTAATAGCCGGGAAAGCTTGTGAAAAACTCCTAAGAGGGCCCGAAGAGCTAATTAGAAATATAGCTACTTACTGTTCTGGCAGTGCAAAACGCTATGCACAGTTATGTGAGTTACAAGACTATTTTCAAGAAGAACGAAAAAAAAAAATTGAAACTAGCTTCCACCAGATGGCTTTCAATGCACCAGTGTGTATCACGCGTTCTAGATTGTTGGGCTGTATTACTACACTTTTTTAGAATTGCTGTTGTGGAAGATAAATTATTAGCTGCTCAAAATATTCGTGCAGCAATGGAAAATAATTAAAACAAAGCATACTTATTATTTTTAAAATATGTTTTAAATATTATTAATTCATTTAATGCCATATTCCAGAGTAGGAATGTTTTGATTCATAAAATGTATGAAGCTTCAGTAAATATTTTGAAAGAATTTTGTAGTAATTGCATTAAGTTAAATGTTCTTGTTAATAATTCGTTGGAGGATATGAATGTAGCAGGTCCAAATAATTATTTGGCTGCTAAAGATATGGTTTTGGGAACGGAATGCGAAAACTATATCAAGGACTTTTCTGCTGAAGCCACTGAATTAGTTAAAAATAAATGTTAAGAGTTTTACAAAACAGCTGCTCTAGAAATAAAAAAGAGATTGCCAATTAATAACCATTTATTCCAGCAGCTCAAATTTCTAGATCCAAAGGTGGCATTACATGTAATAACAGACAAAGTATATATAAATGTTGAAATTATCAAAGAACAATTGAATGAAAATGTTGAATTAAACATATTACAGAGTGAGTGGAGACGTATGAAAATTTTAATAAATGGCAATGAAAAAGCAAGGCTATTATTATTACCTATTGATGAGTTCTGGTATTGTATTAGCAGCATGAAAGATTATTCTGGTACTTACTTATATCAAAACATTTATAAACTAACTAAACCATGCCTGAGTCTTCCTCACTCAAATGCTGAGGCTGAAAGAATTTTTTCAATTGCAGCTGATGTTAAGACAAAAAAACGCAATCGTGTAGGAGATGATGCTTTAAACTCAGTGGTGGTTATAAGATCAGCTTATGGAGCTGTTGTGTGCGTAATCTCAAAGACTCCAAAAGCCGTAAGCTTTAGAGACAAATCAAACAAGTACCAATTGAACTGTAGAATTACGTTTATTTAGCAGAAAATATAGTAAGTGTATAATAGCGTGTGCGCGTGTGACGAGAAGTTGCTCTCGTCTCCGTGGCTGTGATACATCTGGTCAGGCTGTCCCACAAGCTCCCTTATAAGTGATGGCGGTTCTTTTGATGTAGCGGCGCGTGCAGCTTGTATGTGTATGTGTGTTTTCGGTTGTTGTTGCCAATTCTTAGAATAGCGACTCGTGATCATGATTTCTAGTCGTGTACCTGTCCAGTGATTTATGGATAGGGGTGGATAGTACATATTCTATATTATATTGTTGCAATATTTATGTAAATTGTATATATGGAGTTTAAGACCGTAATAACATTATGATATATTATAATATATTATATACTATGTTGTTATATAGCGAGTAGTGGAGCCTAGGGTGTGTAACAAACCGACTATGTCCGTTTGATGGTGTTGTAAAATAAATAAGAAGAGTTGTTCTTTTCTTTATAAATTTAATACTTTTATTTAATTATTACAAAAAACAATAAATTTTATAAGTCCAAAGTGACTATATTAAAGAATGGAGAAAAGCGAGATGTGACTGTCAAACTCCTAGCTCCTAGCTCGTCGTTGGTGTTGGTCCGTCTGTCGAAGCCCATTCGAGCGACGTATTTATAATGGCTATACTTGGATCGTATCCCTGCTGAGTACCCTACTACTTGGGTGGATTACATTGGGCGAATTTACTCGCTTCTTACCAGCGAACAAAGTCGCACGCGACTAAGCGTGTAGTGACCTGTCCGATTACACTACGGCTAGTATAGTCGCGTAGTCGCACGTATTCGCGCATGTCACAAGTTGTATACATACTATTTAATAATTTGGTTATAAGTTATCTGTGGTTAATATTTAAAGTTTGAGTTTTGGAAGTATGAAGTGGAACAGTAATAATATAATTGATTTTTTAAAAATGTATGAAAAATATCCATTACTTTGGAACATTAAGCACAAGGACTACTGCAACATAAAATTAAAAGATGAAATATTTAAAAGCTTCTATTCAGAACTTGAGAGTCAAGGATTGGTAGAAGGAATGGACGAAAAGCAACTAAAAGCCAAAATAAAAAATATAAAGGGTGTTTATCGGAACGAACTGGCTAAAATAGAAAAAAGTAGGAAAAGTGGAAGTGGAACAGACGATATTTATTATCCAAAACTTGTGTGGTTTGACCAGGCAAACTTTTTTCGTGAAGTGTTATCTACAAGAAACAGCCAATCAAATTTGGTAAGTTTTAATATTACAAGTATTATTATATAACTATATTAACACTCAATCAATAAAAGTTGAAATATAATGATATAAATATATTTTATTTTATCAATATAAATAAAACCAAAAATATTATTCGTATTAATTATATTATTTAAAGAATTGTTATATTTGATTATAATTATTTAACTTTGTATAATACTGCAAATACTGAAACCACTTAAAAAATTACAATAGGTTTTTTTATATAGTTATACCAACTTTTTCCCATTGCCAAGGTAAAGGATTTTCCTCCATAAAATATTTTGCTAATGAACTTCTAACTTCTTCAGCAGCTCGTTTATTATTATTACTGCCGATTTGACTAACGGAATCTAGACTATTAACATGTTCTCTCCATTCCCCAGAAATAATATTGCCATTGTTCAAATCCTCTCGATCAACTGCTTGTGGAGGTATATATGTGTTTGGATTAGTTTTACGTAGCCAGTTGTGGAAACTACATGCAGCATAGATTACTTTGTCTATTGTTTCTGGTTTTAGATCAATTGGTTTTGAAAATATTCTGAACCACCACACTAATATGCCAAACACATTTTCCACTAACCTTCTAGCACGTGAAAGACGATAGTTAAATATAATTTCAGAATTATTAAGTCCAGTTTTGCTATATGGCTTCAATAAGTTTGTTCTTAGTGGAAAAGCATCATCCCCGATAATAACACATTTTTCCGGCATCCCGAGGGTATTGTTTTCCAATGCGATATTCAAAGTGCTATCCCGAAATATTGCACTATCGCTAGCTCGTCCATTTGCTCCGATATCGAGGGCGCTGAACGTTTGGTCACATTGACCCAAAAGCCAACACGTTTGGGTACAAATAGACACAACGTTTGGACACATAAAATTAAAGGTATTTTACAATTTTACCTGGTAAATCAGAGAACGTTTGGGTACACAATACACATACTATACAAGACACGTTTGGGTACACTTTATAAACACGTGATCTACAATGAATAGTGGTATCTACTTTATCTACTTTATCTCCAAACCAATTAATATCAATTACTTACATTATTTTGATTATTATCGTAATATACGCGATTACGAATTTATACGTAATACATGTACTTGTAATAATCTTTATTACGACTGCATCAATATAATATTATATAGGTATATATATACATATCTTTTCAAATTTCTTTATTCACTCAATGTGACTGTGTCTCAGTTGTGTCTTCAATGTCATAGTGAACAGTCATGGAAAATCGTATTAGTGAAGTTTTTGAAACCCGTCGTGGTAAAAGGTGTGTGATTATTGATCGTTTTAAATTTAGTGAATTTAGAGCAAATAAGGACAGCTACATTTTTCGTTGTACTAATCGTAAGTGTAACATAACAGCAAAAGTTTCTCAAAATTTAAAATTTGTTATTTCGATTCATGGAGACCATATTAATCATGAAGCTTTTCAAGAAGAAACCATTACAAAACAAAAAGTAATGTCAGTATTAAAAAGAAAGGCAACAACAGATTTAAATGCGAAACCAAATAAACTCATAAGACAAGAACTCCGCAATTGTCAAGATTCAGGTAATCTCAATCATTCTGACGTTAATTTATTTCGCAAAAGTATGTATGAAGCTCGGAGAAAATTATTTCCTAAAGTTCCAAAGTGTTTTTAGAAGCAAAAGCTATGATATATGAATGTAAAACTTATTATTTTTCAAAAGGTGAGCAATTTTGTTTCATGGAATCTGCTGATAGTATTCCTATTTTTACGAATGCTAGTAACTTGTCGCTATTAAATAATGTGCAACATGAATTTGCTGATGGTACTTTTTCATACGCGCAGAAACATTTTTTAAAATGTATACGGTACATGTATACATAAATGGATTTTATCTACCAATTATATATGTGTTTATGGAAACTAAATCTCAACAAGCTTATATTGACGTATGGTTAAAAATAAAACAATTATTTTTTCAATTCCATGAAAAACCGTTACACATTAAAAAAATTCATTTAGACTATGAGAAAGCGGGCCCATAATGCAGTATTAGAAGTTTTCGAAAACTGTACAATATTAGGTTGTCGTTTTCATTTGAGTCAAGCCTGGTTTCGTCGGATACAAAGTGACAAAGAATTATATAAGCATTACATGGAAAAAACCGATGTATACAAATGGCTTCAAAGTTTTTTTGGTCTTAGTTGTATATCGCCTAATGAGGTGAGCAATGGTTTTGTAGCTCTAATGTCAGATGCACCTGTCCACGCAGCAGAAACATTTACGGATTATATTTTAGAGACTTACGTTGAGGAAAATAGTTGTTTTCCGCCATATTTGTGGGCAGAAAGTCCATCATCTGATCCTAGGACAATAAATGGGCCCGAAACATTTCATCGAGACTTTAATAATCAGTTTTATACAAGCCATCCAAATTGCTTTAATATAATCAATACATTGATGGAAATTCAAGAAGAAACTTATTTAAAGTTATGCAGTATTAAGAAAAACATAAAAAATTGTACAAGAAAAGAAGATTCAGATAATGTTGAGTATATTTTAAAAAAATACAATAAATTCAAAGTTGACAACGATATAAAAAATTATCTATATGACATCGGTCCACTTTTTGTCGGGGAAAAAAAATAAATACCTATAGATAAGTGAATAAATAACATAAGATTTTAATAGAATGAATGACTAAATATTTTAACTTAATATTTTATTTTAATAAAATAATTAAAATATTAATAGTAAAAAATAAATAATAAACATTTTTGGGAGACTATTAAGAGCCAACCTCCTAGTGGTGTCTCCTGAGTAACGCTAATAGGCTCTAAAAAATAAAATGTAAAAGTATATAAGTAAAAAATGTGCACCTAAACGTTGGTACCCAAACGTAGTATTATTTTAAAAATATTATGTTACCCAAACGTTGTATTGCTTTTTGGGGTCTGAAAAAAAGTGTACCTAAACGTGTGTTCCCAATCGTTTTCCCGAATCTCAGGTAAAAATATCGTTTTGTGCCCAAACGTGTTACGGCCGATATCGATGTACGTAAAACAATAATCACCGTCAACCATTGCAAACAATATAACACTATAGGTTTTCTTATAATTGTAAAATGTTGGGCCAGAACCAGGAAGTCGTTTAATAATTACATGTTTTCCGTCGATTGCACCGCAACAGTTTGGAAAATTCCAACGATGGAAAAATGTATCTTTTATTTTTGCCCATTCATCACACGTAGTGGGTACCTGGGAAATTTAAATTAATTAATTTAAATTCGTAATTGTTTAAATAATATTTATTTTAAATTTTTAACTATTATGATAGTTTTAATTTATAAGTATAGATATTTATAAAATGTTTGCACTTTTTATGTCATAAAAAAATAGTTTTGACACCTTAAATTTGAAATCAAGAGGGTTCATTATAAACATTAATTAAATTTTGAGCTTTTTAAATAAATTATATATCTGAATTTTACAAAAAAATAAATTTTGTTATTTAAAAAATTGCTTCAATAAATTACTGGTTTAAATGTTTATTTCAGTATTTAATTTAATTTTTTAGAATTTAACCAATATAAGTCAGCATTCTAACGAGGTACCGATCGAAGAAGACATGGATGATAAAGACGAAGATCAAGATAATGGTTCAACAGGGGAATTGCCTGAAAAAATGAAACCACCACCAAATAAGCTTATAAAAAAGATTAAACAACGAGCTGCGCCTGCAATCTCAGATGCAATTGAGCAATTAGATAGAATTGCTCAAAGTGCATCTACAGAAAAAGCCTATGATCAATTCGGAAAACATATTGCATACGAGCTTCGTCAGTTACCACCACGTCAAGCCATATTGTTGCAGTCCGAATTACAAAGCTGTATCACTCGAATGCGTTTATCTTGTTTGGAGCCTGCAGTACATCAACCAGTACATCAACTTTACCATCAACAGGCTTACTCTCAACAATTACATCTGGATATAGTATCACCTTCAACTTCTTCAAGCTCAATGCCTTCTACATCTACTCAAGGTCTAAATGAGGATTATAATGAAGATATTTTAAATCATGCTATAATTAATTCCAATTTTTTTTCAAATAATAACTTATAATTTTTATGAATAAACAATTAATTTTAATTTTTTTATATTAACATAACAATTTTGTTTCTAAAATTTATCTCAATAATAACATATTATTTACTACATATTTCGTTTTGTATTATTTTATGTATTACCTATTTAACACATTCGAGACGAATCACGTGTTATACGCGTGATGCCATATTAAATATAGAAGACGGAATATTTTCGCTCTATTATTACCTTACGGACGAGCGGTTTTTACTATTTTTCGTAAAATTATAAAAATTGTATGACCTTCCCGATTTGTATGATTTAAAAATCATTTTTTAATTTAGAATTTGTATTTTCTTTTGATACGAAAATAATTTTCATAAAATAAATTTATATTATTTTTCTTAATAGCTAAAAAATGGTTGAAAATGTCAAAAAAAAAAAAGTCGACCACGCTTTATTTGTATACTTTTACAGAAAAAAAAATTTTTATTCCTTTTTATATAATATATATCAATACAAATTAGATGTTTAGTTAATTGTTCATAAATGTAACTGTAAAACTATCAACTTATTCATAGAAAAAAATAGTAATTTGAAATACGGTCAAGTGGTAAAATATACATTTGATACATAATACATATTATAAATGTACAAACATTATGAATTATAAATTAGTACGAAATTATAAAAAATAATACTACAACATTCACTTTTTATCTAAATGAAAAAAAATTAGATAAAAAACATGACATTTTTATGTAAAATTTACGTATTTATAAAATTATAACCAATAATTATTTATCGTATGATATTTTTCAAAACATACATCAATACACAACGGTGTATCACATTGCTTGCAGTAAAATGAAGTTTCTTTTCTTCCTCTTTTGCCGCTTATATACTTTTCTTTATCTGCACATACTTTACATACTCGCCTAGGATTTTGTTTGGAAGGTGTAGCTGGTATTCGAGCAATAAAATGTCGTCCTGTCAATCGATTAGTAACCATTTCATTTGAATCCTGTTGTCCAAAACCACTTTTTTCTGCCATTTGTAAACCCAAATTTATTATAAATGTTCTCAAAGAAACTTTTTGGCGTTGATTTGCTTTTTTCTTTAATATATAACTATTTACAACCGTTACCATAAACAAGTGAAAGAACATTTTTTTCCACCATTTAAAACTTTTTCTTTGAAATGGATAGTATGAAACCATCTGGTCTCCATGATCGACACCCGTTTTATTTATATTATAATCAATTATTGCATTAGGCTTGAATTTTAGTATCGGGCCTGTTTTAGATCTAACAGAAACTTGTTTCATGTCCGCGGAATGAGCAGTAGATAATACTAGTACATCTCTTGTGTCTTTCCATTTTATACACATCAAACAACCTTGTTTCGCATATGTCATTTCCCCTTTCTGTAATTTTTCCTTCAATACGTCTTTTGGTAAACCTTTACGATTTGACATCACCGTCCCTACACCATTTGTATTTTTATCCCAAAGTGCATTTAGAAGAGCTGGGCTTGTGTAAAATCTATCCATAAATACAGTGTGTCCTTTGTAATAGTAATTTTCTAAAAGTCTATCAAATAATGCAATTATTGAATTATCTTCTTGATTTTTTCCAGAGTAAATTTCAAATTTTAAAGTATATCCTGTTAATGCGTCTGAAAGTATATATAATTTCATCCCATACTTATGTGGTTTATTTTTCATATAAACACGAAAATGTACACGCCCTCTAAATGGACACATACCTTCATCAATGGTCAAATTTTTATCAGGTTGATATGATTCACAAGCTTTTTTATTTATCAAGTCAATATAAGGACGAATTTTAAATAAACTGTCATAATTTTCTTTACCTCTTGGAATATAATTTGCAGTATTATTCAAATGCAACATAGAACAAATTGATGAAAAACGGTCTCTAGTCATTACTTTTGCCGCAAATGTACTATGAATAAATGCATTTTTCGACCAAAAATCTTTCATTTGTGGTTTTGGCATAACACACATATGGAGAATAATTGAAAAAAATTTATGTATTTCAGAAATGGTCACTGGTTTCCATTTATGCCAAATAGAGTTTGGTTTTAGCATATTTTTTTGTCGAAGAGATCGAATTACTGAGTATGCGTACCTATTTGTTTCTTTTTTTATCAGTTTTATCAAACTATCTGGGAAAAAAATACTAAAAATATCTAATTCAGTTGTTTTACCAAGTACTTCTTCAGAAACACCTGAACTTGAAGTAAATAAATGGGGCTGGGGTTCAGAGTTTATTTTTTCCCATTGCAATTGAACGGGCGGTTGTCTTATTCTTTCTAATGTATTTTGTATTACTCTATTTCTAGTGCTTGAAAGAGGGCCATTATTATTAGAAATTGTTAGATTTGGTTGATAAATAGGTTCGTTTTGAATTTCGTCTTCCGTGTCCTCAAAACCCCATTCCTTAGAAATATCAAAATCATTCATAATATTTTCTGGTGGTACGTCATTCACATCACGTATACCAGTCAATGAAACGGCTAAAACATCATTAAAATTTCCCATCATATCAACAAGATTTTCATTTTCAAAACTAACAGGTAGCAAATCTGAATACACAGGTTCATTTGGCTCATCATCAATTCTATTCTCAATATCATAATTGTCCTCGACATCATCGTCATCTCTATCAGACCCACTATCTTCTATAAACTCCTCTAATAAACGACTTATAACTTCTTCATTCATTTTATTAGTCATTATCTAAAGAAAAATAGAAAATATTCGAGTATATGAAAATAATAACTGATTTGCTCGTAATGTTTATTAGATACGATAAAATTATAACGACACGGCGGCCGGTCGGCGGGTAAATATAAAAATTATAATAGCATTATACTACCTTTATCCTTCAACAGCATACGTAGACAACAGCAAACAACGTCAAAAGGAAAGGCGAAAATCCAAGAAAATGACAAATACGAGTGAAAAATAGATTGTTTTTACGACAATCTCGATAATGATTGTTTACAATATAAAACCAATGGGCGCTACAAATAACTCGTGCCATACAGCTCCACGTGGAGCATAATATTTACATTTTATACGTAAATAATCGATACGATATTTTCTATCGATTGCAATAATTACGAAAAAGATAGAATCAATGTATGATTTTATATCGATTTTTGAAAATCGATAGAAGACACAACACGCGTGAGACGCGTGATTCGTCTTTCATGAGTAGAATATTGTAACGCGCCAGACGCGTGATTCGTCTTGAACGTAATTTATATTTAAATATAGATCGTCTCGAATGTGTTAAATATTATATTTATATAACTGTACCTTAATAAATGGTTCCAGGACTTGAGAAATCGCTGTAAGCACTTCGGGTATAAATAATGAGATTGTACATTCAGGAACACGAAATAGATATTCTAGGGACTTAAATGAATCACCAGTAGCTAAATAACGCAATGTTACTTCTAGTTTGGTTTTTGGCGGAATAGCCATTCTCATTTGAGTGTCTTCTTTTTTAATTAATTCATAAACCATTTGTAACAAATTATCAAACTGGACCACGTCCAAGATTTCGGTAGGCTGCAGTGTCTTCGTCTTTTAATTCTTTTAATAATGTACTGGATGCGCCATATTTTTCTTGTCTAGCAATCCAATCTCTGACCCAAATTCTTTTTTTCTTTTTAGTTTTCTTTTTTTCCAACTCCTGACGCAATATTATAGATATAACAACAACACCTGCGCGAACTACAGCATCTGACATCTTGAAAGTTGCAACCACTACTAGTTACTAGTCGCAAGTACATTAGCGATTTTGCTAGCCATGTCGATTACACAAAGCGATTTCACTCGTCAGAGATTAAAATAGCCAGCAAGTAGTGACAAAAATAGCCCAGCCGTCAACTTTAATCACGGGCGAGCAGCGAGTATTCAACACAGGGCGAGTAAGCGACTAGAGCGATTACATTGAGCGACTTTGGTCGCAGCGAGTTAATTCGCCGGCGACTAGCGTGTACAATCGCTCAGTGTAATCGAGGCTTTACGCTGGTAAATACAGCGGATTTTACTTATTGTGCATCGATGGATTGCTCTTGGGTGTGTACAAGTACACACCTATGGAGAGATCGTCTTACTTGCCGTTGCCGGAAAATATTCGGAATCGGAAGGCTTGTTGTAAACCCTCAAAATATCGACTGGCAATGTTTTAAGTGGGCGATCCTCGCCAAACACGTAGAAAATGAGAACCGCGGAAGAGTAGGCCCGAGTTATTTTATGGAAGAGCACCGATACGACTTTTCTGCACTATCAACCCCCACCTCCGTGTCGGAGATAAAATTATTTGAAAGATCGATTCCGGGCACGACCGTAAATTTATACGGTATAAGAAATTGCGAGAAAAATAAAAAAAATAATCCACGCAAACGGTCGCGTATCCACTACGCATCGCAGACGAAGAAAAGGCGAATCATTTCGATCTGTTACTAATCACTGGGAAGGATGACAATAATCATTACGCTTATATATCGAATTTTTCACGTCTAGCTAGCCCGCAAAAAAATAATCACGAGCATCAATTATTTTTCTGCAGACGATGATTCACCGGCTTCGAGAACCGCCCTTTAAAATATAAATTGCAGTGAGCAGGCGTTGGCGAATCACCGCTTGACATGCGGCGCTCACAGACCCGTATTACCTCTGATGCTGAAAGATCCCTTCGAATTCGAGGCGTAGCGTTAGGTTAGGTTACCGTTCGTAGTGTAAGCAGACTTTGAAGCCCTATTACTGAAAACGGTTCAAATACCCAGGCGATGCACACGCACCATCCCATGAGTTACGGATACCTAGTCATCGCAGCGGAGGGGGTGCCAATAGAGTTGTTCGAACAGTTTGACATCCCGAGAGCTCCCGTCGTTTTCCACGGCTCGGCGACCGACGATGAAGTGGCCAAGCGTTTTGTCCGCGACATCATGGATGTGGCCGATAGGATATACAGATTATATAAGGAGGTCAACGTGCCGATTATTATGAGTGTCGACGTTTGCCGAGTGCATGGTGGCAAGACGCGGTGCGATTTGTGCAGTGAAACGTTTACCGAGCGTACTGTAAAACTGCGCATCATGATCACTTATCAGGCCGGTTTCTAAAAACATTGTTTAACACGTGCAACCTCAAATTGAAAACACCAAAATTCGTACCGTGCTTTTTACGCAATCTTTCGAACTATGACGCACATATGACAAATTTGGCTTATGACGGCGACACTAACAGAATATCGGTAATCGCTAATACTGAGGAGAAGTATATTTCATTTTCGAAATATATAAACAACACATTCTCCGTCAGGTTTATAGATACGTGTCGGTTCATGGGGTCGAGTTTGGCGCACTTGGCGGAGAACCTCTCCTCCGCAAACTTCGATAAATTTCGTTAAGTAGTGAAAGTATTCAGCCCGGTGGAGATACCGTTGACCACGCGGAAAGGTGTTTTTCCGTAAGAATACGCCGATTCGTGGGATAAATTGTGCGTGACGTCGCTACCCGAAAAGATCCAATTCTATAGCGCATTGGAGGAGACGCACGTCAGCGACGAAGATTACGAACACGCTACCCGGGTATGGGATTATTTCAGCTGTCGAACTCTTGGCGATTACAGCGACCTATACCTGAAAATCGATGTCCTCATTAGCGCCGATGTGTTAGAGAATTTCAGGAATATATGCATAGCTACATATCGCCTGGACCCTGCACATTGCTACACGTCGCCCGGATTCAGTTTTGATTGCATGCTCAAGTTCACTTAAGTTCAACTAGAACTTTTAACTGATTTCGAGGAAGTTCTCTTTCTGGAGTCCGGTACGCGCGGTGGACTAGTGCAGGCTAAGCAGGCTGGTAAACGTCACGCTCGTGCCAACAATATCGAGGCGCCCGGATACAATGCCGACGAACGTAGCACGTCACTCATATACCTAGATGGTGATTACAAAATATAAATTATACATACATTAGGGTGGTCCTTATTTATATAGGTCAAATATTTATGTTTGAAAATTGAACACGGTACCCCCTTAATTTGTTAAGTTATATGAGTAAGTCATTTGGGTAAAATTTGGAAGATCTCACTCAACCCCTTCTGGTGCCGCATTAGGGTTGAAATATGGAAAAAGGGGTAGTTTTTTGTTTTTTTTATTTAATTCAGAAGGTTTAGTATTTAACGAAAATATGTAAAGAGCTAAATGATAGATTTTAACATTGTCTATAAAAAAGCATATAACGTAAATTCTCGTAAGTCCATTGGTTTTTATGAAAAACTATATAATAAAAATGTTCGATGTATTGTAATTTGTAATATACATTTTTCTCGTTTATTTAAAAGCATATAATAACTGCATGTGTAGAAGCCCTGTCATTAGATCCCAGTATTTATGTTATAAACCGAACATCAATTAAAAGGTCTCGTGAAGACTATCGACAAAAAATATCGGAAAATATTAATTCCGAATTTCACGAAAAAAAATTAAATTATGTAGTGATCCATTGGGATTCAAAAATACTTCCAGCCCTTACCGGAAAGAATAATGTTGATCGTTTGCCAATTATTGCAACAGCCATGAATGTTGAACAACTTCTTGAAGTCCCGCAAATGCCTTCTGGGACAGGATATGAAATATCTTCAGCTGTGTATGATACTTTACAAAAATGGTCATTACTAGATAAAGTCCAAGCATTCGTATTTGATACTACAGCTTCTAACACAGGGAGGTTGAATGGGGCATGCATACTATTAGAACAAAGTTTAGAAAGAGAAATTTTATTTTTGGCGTGCCAACATCACATTTTTGAACTTGTTTTACAAGGTGTATTTTTAGAAGTTAAGTTGTTTCCCATGACAGGACCAGATATATTACTTTTTAAAAGATTTCAACACGCGTGGGAAAATATTGATAAAAGCACATTTTCCACATCGGTTTCTGATTTCTATATTCATAATATTTTAAAAAATGACTCTGACGAAATTATTTTATATGCGAAAAAAAAAATTACTGAAAATCTTCCTCGAGATGATTACCAAGAGTTTTTAGAACTCGTTATCATATTTTTAGGCGGTGTTCCACCTCGAGGAATTGCTTTTAGGCAGCCTGGTCAATACCATTTAGCCAGATGGATGGCTAAGGCCATATATTCTTTAAAGCTATACATATTTAAAGATCAATTTAAATTAAACAGCAAAGAAGAAAAGGCGTTAAAAGATATTTGTTGTTTTATAGTTAAATGTTACGTTCAGGCTTGGTTTTCGTCACCCAATGCAATTGAAGCTCCACTTAATGACATATTATTTTTAAAAAAATTAGAAGAATATAAATTGTACAATAAAAGAATTTCAGACGTAGCATTAAAGAAAATAATAAATCATTTGTGGTATTTAAATCCAGAGTGTATTGCATTTTCGATATTTGACGATCGTGTAGATAACAGTACGAAACTCAAAATGGCTGAGAAAATATTGAGTACTTACGATTCAAGCATAAACGATGACGAGGAAGAAATCGAGTTGAAAAAAAAAATAGCACTGAAATTGGAAGATGTTTCACAGTTTATTCAAAAAGATCTTTTAATTGATTTAATAAACTCTAAATCGATTGGAATGTTCAAGAGATTTCAAATTTCCACACAGTTTTTAACTATTGACCCGGCCAATTGGAATAATCACGAGGACTACAAAATAGGAAAACAAATTATAAACTCACTAAAAGTCGTGAATGACACAGCTGAGAGGGGAGTCAAGCTCGTTGAAGAATATAACAAGAAATTCACAAAAAACGAAGGACAAAAACAACTTGTTTTACAAGTAATATATTTTACTATTTTCAAAATAAATTAAACTTAAAAATGTTATTATATTTTCTAGACTGTTCAAGACTACCGGAAAAAATACCCGCAAAGTGACAGACAAACGCTGAAGAAACCATTTTAGTTGTCATTAACTAATTATACTTACCAAAAATTTGATGAAAAAAATTCATATTGGTATTTCTATTTTTATGTTGTAAAAATTACACGAAAATCAAGTAAATAAAACCAAAACATTACAGAATCTTAAGACTTTTTTAGCCGTAATTTTTTTTTTATATTATTTAATTCTGTATAATTGTTACTCAACATATTTTGTCATATTATATCCAACCGTACGTTGTACATATTTGTACATATTTAAAAAACCAAAAAAATCCAATTTCGTTAAATATATACAATATTTTGTAAACTAATAAGTTTTCTTAAAAACCAATGGACATACGAGAATTTACGTAATATGCTTTTTTACAGCCAATGTTAAAATCTATCATTTAGCTCTTTACATATTTTCGTTAACTAGTATACTTTCTGAATTAAATAAAAAAAAACAAAAAACTACCCTCTTTTTCCATATTTCAACCCTAATGCGGCACCAGAAGGGGTTGAGTGAGATCTTCCAAATTTTACCCAAATGACTTACTCATATAACTTAACAAATTAGGGGGGTACTGTATTAAAAAAATCACATTGAAAAAATAAGGACCACCCTAACATACATATATATATATATATATATATATATCTTTATCTTCATATATTATTAAAACGTGAGGCAATTTCTTGTGACAGTTATATCTGAAGTTCTACCAGGCCGATTTTAACAATTTTTTTTTAAAACGAAAATACTCGGTGTGTAGATGAGCTATCAAAAGAGAAAAGTCCAAAAAGTTAATTATTTCAATAGTAATTAGAAGTATAAAGTTTGTCGTATTATATATACCTATATATTGCGGCGGCCCTAGGGTTTCCATAGCTACCTGTAACCTGGCCTTTTTATATCGACGTGTAGATATGAATTGTTCCGAAAAGTTGATCAATAAAAATAATCTCGCACACATAATACAACTACAGAGCAGTGCTGTAATATTGTGTCTTCGTCCGTTTTTTTTGTACCTATCGTTTATTTGTGTTTCTTATGACAGTTATACATCTTATTTTTTTCTAACGCAAGTACTCGGAGTCATCAAAAGAGTAACGTCCAAAAAAATAATTATTTAAATAGTTATTAGAAGTGTAAAGTTAACGACAAGTTTTACCAATTGTCTCACGTGGATCTAGACAGCTTACAATACAAAACTATATAAAATATTCTCCGCTTTGGCCGAATTGTAAAATTCTTAAACTATTTAGAAATAGGTGAGTACACCAAAATGAAATTTAATTTTACAAGTTTTTTTTTTTTATTGAACTTAAGCCCGGCGACTAGGTAAATTAGCTGTTGTAGGGGTTATGAACTGTGGCAGGGGGTAAGTTTGGTTGGTTTTTCTTTTCTTTTTTTTGTACGATTGTTACGGTAGACAGCAAACACGTGTATGTGAAGGTTTTTAACTACTATGAACCTGGGTGGTCACCCATCCGGGGATTAGTATCTGTGGCCGTTACTTACTCTCAGTCGCATTCCGCGACTGGCAGCAGCCAACGCGCCACGCCCAGCCACTTACAAGTTTTTGTTACATATTGGAAATTGCAAATACCCACTGATAAATCCTTATTCGGACGAATATTCAATTGAAATAAAACCATCGCTATTATCAAGTGATATAATTGTAGTGATCCAGCCCACAGATCGTGGTGTATAAGACAAGAGATGACAGGGTGTAAATAATTCTAAGTCAATTGTAGAATATTATGAACATAGACTTTATTTGGTCATGTAAAACTGATAGATTATTTTTAATACACTGACATTTTGTCAGAGAGTCGACTGGCGTGAAGGTGCTTGCACTGACTCTGGTAAATCACGTCTGAATATCGGGTGGATGGGTCCCTGTTTTATAGGCCTACTCTCCACTCTTCTCCTAGCTATAAGATAGCGTTGACCCCGTTTACGATTGAACGTGTGTGGTCGTGGGTTTCCAGGAAACGGTCGCCTCCTATGCGGTTATCGCTGCCGACATATTAGATATATTATCTGACGGATATTTAATTATAATAGAATAATATTATATTTAATATTTATGCCCATAGATATTTATGGTTTTAACTCTTTTTATTTATATTTTCACAACGCTCTCTCGGTGGTCGGATTCTCAGAACTACGCACCCTATTTCTTATTGCGTCGTTGTTCTTAAATCCCCGAGGTCGACAACTTCCCAATGTGTCATATTATTCTCATATTATGTCCCCCTCGCTATCTAGCCTATGCGTTTTATGGCGGGACGTCAGTACATAGCATAATAAAAGACGTTTTTGGAAATATTATGTTTAGTTTAGAAAATGTGTCTAATTTTTCACAATTTGCTATTCTTACACCTAAAAATGAACATTGTGATGAGATGAATAATGCAATTGTCACTATGTTGCCAGGGCTGGAAAAGAGGTATTTAAGTTTAAGTATAGTGTCAAAAGAATGTGACGATTTTTTGTTTCCTACAGAATTTTTAGATAGATTACATTTAAGTGGTTTACCTACAATAGTTTGGTACTAAAGAAAGGTGCAATTGTAATACCCTCGAGAAATTTAAATGTAATCTCCAATCTAATGAATGGCACAAGATTTATAGTACGAAATATGTACGATCATACTTTAGACTTGGAATCTATAACTGGTCCCTTGACTGGTCAGCGTATTTTATAGCCTAGAATTGATTTAACCCCGACAGTTTCTTCTCTTCCCTTTTCATTTACCAGACGTCAATTTTCGAATGGCTTTTGCACAGGGTAAAACATTGGATAAAGTAGGTTTATTTTTACCCCAACCTGTGTTTAGTCATGGACCATTGTCAACTTTGTGTTGCCATGTCCAGAGTTAGTTCTTTCGAAAAGTAAAAAATACAAATACAGTAGGTTCCGCTTAATGTGATCGCTTTGGTGAAGGTCATTTTGATTCTATTAACCGGTTGATTCTATAAAACATTTACAACATTTTTTTCATAATTCAATCTTTTAATACAATTACATTTTTATTTAAATTAACATACATATTTAATAATTTATAAGACATAAAATTATTTATTTTTACATTTTATTTATTTAATGCTTCTTTATTTAGGTATACATTTATGCTTAAATTAAAATTAAAATTAAATAAATACATTTAAAACAAATTAAAGAAGCTATCTATTTTTGATTGTACATGACAGTCTACCAATTTCATTTCCATATTAGCCTGAAATTAAATTAAAATTAATATTCATTGTTTATTTGTTTACAATATGTAAATTATACATACCAGTAACTTTTGAAACAACTGAAAAGTATCGTTATCGCCGTATTTTTGAACAGCTCCTTTTAACTTTCCCAAAATAATTCTCGTATCTTTTTGAGTGATTTCCACATTGGTATCTTCGCTATCGTCATCATCATCATCATCATCATCATCATCATCATCAATTTTAGTTTCTTATTGATTTTTATTTGCAAATCAGTTAATTCTTTATCAGATAATGCTTCAAAAGTAGGTAAATCTTGATCAATTGAAATCCAATTTTCAAAGTTTGTGTCTATGAATTCAACCTCCTGTAATTCTTCTTCGTCTGATTCAATTTGTGAAAACCCAGCTTTTCGAAAACAATTTAAGTAGTATCTTTTAGCCGATTCTAAAACCTCATCCCTCATCACTCTTCCTCATCCCTCATCACTCTTCCTCATCCCTCATCCCTCATCACTCATCACTCATCACTCATCCCACCGCCCGCATCCTCATCCGCCGCCGCCGCCCTATCGCGTACGTGTGTGACATACGTATACTGCTGTTATTCTAATCAGTTATCAATTGTTATCAGTTATCATATCATCGTTATCAATTGTTATCAGTTTTCGTTATCAATTGTTATCAGTTATCAGTTATCATTTGTTATCACTTATCAAATTATACCCGTTGTCGTGGAAAAACTGCAAAATAACAGTCCGAGTATCGAACACGGATGTATCTCCTCACCGTGAGGTTGGTTCTACCACTAGGCCACCCCGCCATATTCTTTAATATAGTTATTCTTACCTATTTAACCAGAGTTTGAACATATTATAAATAAAATTAAAAATATTTAAACCACAGTATACTGGTCATATTATAATATCATTAGGATACTAATAACTTGCAGCTGCGTACACGAATAATATCGATGAATACACCATAATAGGAGATATTTGATCACAATGGCCCGTATATTTCCTGCCATTAGGATTATTCGATATGTTAAATGCCTATTTCGAAATTCGCACGACTCGTGTCGCCGACTCTTAATAGCCGCATTTATATTGAAAGACACTTTCGACATTAAGAGACAATAGG